ATTCAATTTGTCTTTTCCATATTTCTTATATCTACACATTATATATGTACTGTTCAATCAACATCCAGAGATTTTTCCTGGCTAAGAGTGCCAAACACATTTTAAGACCTTAAATGCTTCAGGACTAAAGGCCAGGTGATTCTATTAAAGGACTGCACTGATATCAGTTGTCTTATTTCAGTCCTTTACCACTCTAAAATAAATTTAGTAAAATATCAAATATAATAACACAGGGATTGGCAAAATTTTTCTTAAGGAATCAGTAAGTATTTTAGGCCTTGTGATTCATACAGTTTCTGTTAAAACTAATCAGCTCTGTCCTTGTAGCACAAAAGCACCTGCAGACAATGTGTACATGAATAAGCATGGCTGTATTCTAATAAAATTTTATTTACAAAAATAGGTGACCAGCTAGCAGGCTGTAATTTGCCAATTCCTGCATAAGAAAAAAGCTCAGAATTTTTAATTTTCTTTCGGAGATCATGCCACTGAACTCCAGCTCTATCACCCAGGCTGGAGATCCATGGCATCATCCCTGCAGCTTCAATCTTTCTTGCTCAATCAATCCTCCCACCTCAGCCTCCTGAGTAGCCGGGATTACAGGTACATACCACCACACCCAGCTAATTTTTGGGATTTTTTGGTAGAAACTAGGTTTTGCCATGTTGCCCAGGCTGGTTAGCTCAGAATTTATTTCATGAGGTAGAAGAAAAATATAACTCAGCAAATTCAGAAAGGTTGAAGATGACTGGCAAGAAAATACTATAATATCCTGTGAGAGGACTATTGAGAATGCTCAGTTTTTGCTATTATAGGAAATAATGAATTAAAATTATGAAAAGTGTGGTGAACACATTCTAAGGTGGTCCCTATGATTCCTGTCTCCTGGTATTCACGCCTTTGTATATCTCTTCCCCTTGAGTGCAGCAGAATCTACAACTTGCTTCTAACCAAAAAGTTATGGTAAAGGTGATGGGATGTCACTTCTGTTACAAAAGCCTATAACATTTTTGCTGAGGGACATTCTCCCTTCTTGGTTTGGAAGGAATATGATGCCATCTTCTGAGATGCCCTATGGAGAGGGCAGCCTCTGGCTGTCAACCAGCAAGGAGCTGAATGTTGCAAAAAATCACATGAGCTTAAAAGCAGATAGTTCCCCTGTCAAGCCTTCAGATGAGAACCCAGCCCTGCCTGACACCTATATTACAGGCTTGCTGAGGACTCAGTGGGAGTGTGCCTGGATTCCTGACCTAAAGAAATTATAAGATAAATAAATATGTGTTTATAAACTGTAAAATTTGTGTTGATATTGTTATACAGAAATACTTAATACAAAAGTACACTGATAACAGGTTTAATGAATTGTCCAAAAGTATATCATTTATCTCCCATGTGGCAAACTAAAATCATATAATTAATGTAAATGATTATTTAAAAAATATATATTGATAAATGTCACCTATTATTTTAATTACTGACAACTTCTATTAAACCTTTTTGAAGCTCAATATCTTTGCAAATAAAGATCCTTTATTTAAAGAGACTGTGTAAACTCTAAATATTTACGCTATCAACTTTTGAAATTTTAAGGTGTTCCAAATTTACCCAGGTAACAGACTGTCAAAAAACAATTTAGATAAAATGCCTCAAAGCCTATTCCAGTACTTAAGCATTAAACATTTTAAGAAAACTCTATCTTTGATTTTTTGTTTTATTAATTGACAACCATCTTAAATTTTTAAAGTACACAGTGGAGTCCCTTAGGTCTTCAAATTATTCCCCAGAGAATTTCCTTTCCTGTGTTCACATTTATTTTGCTGTATTCTGGAAGGTCTAGAGTAGACTTATTCCAGGTTTCTCTTGCAGCACTGTTAGCTCTAGTTTCCACAGTTAAAATGTTACCAAAGCTGTAAATGTAGTATTCTGAAAGCCTACGCTCATGCACAGGTACACACTTCCACATAAACTGCCTTGGTAAATGAATAAACTATTTCATGAGAAAATGGTTAAAAAGTTGGAGATCCATAGTAAAATGTTATTAATGCAAATAATCTTCATGTTTTAATTTTCTCTTCCTTCTGGAATTAAAAAAGTCTTTCAGTGATGAGCAATATAGTAATATACTAGGCTCCTAAACACCAAACTAAAATCCTCATATTTTTATATATTGAAATCCATCTTCAAGTGGATTTCGTTCATTGTACAAGTCACATAGACTTGGGAATGAAGAAAAGTAGAGAATGGGGGCCAGGTGTAGTGGCTCTCACCAATAATCCTAGCACTTTGCAGGGCAGAGGCAAGAGGAATGCTTGAGGCCTGAAGTTCAAGAATAGCCTAGGCAATATAGGGAGGCCCTATCCTGACAGAAAATAAAAATAAAAAATTAGCAGGGCATGGTGGTGTGTAGCTGTAGTCCCAGCTACTCAGGGGGCTGAGAAGAGAGGACTACTTAAGCTCAGGAGTTGGAGGTTTCAGTGAGCTATGATCATGGCATTGCAGTTCACCCTGGGCAACAGGGCTAGACTCATCACTTAAAAAATAAAAAGTGGAGAACATCATTTGCTAATCTAATCTAATTGGACTGGTAAATATTATAATGTGTGATAATATACAAGTGTTGTCAAGGGTGAGATTAGGGTTAGCTGACATAACTGTTGGCTGAAGCACATGACAGGACAACCTTTTGGGAGAGCAATCTAATAATAGCTAACAAAATTTAACATGCCTCAATTAAGCAAGTCTATATCTTAGAGTTTATTCTACAGATATTGACATATGTGTGCAAAGGTTATACACAAGATTATGCACAATAGCATTGCTAGTAATAGAAAACGATGGAATTAATTTAAATTTTTCAGTAGGCGATTATTACAATAAATTATGATACATCTATACAATAAAATCCTATGCAGTTGTTAACAAGAATGAAGTAGTACATCTTTACAAATGCACATGGATTGAGGTCTAAGATGTATTAAGTAGATAAAGCAAGGTGTGGAATGCTCCCATGTATATTACTTACATAGAAATATTTGGGTAGAATACCCAGGACACTATAATTTCTAGGGACAGAGACTGAGGATCTGAAAAAGCAACCTAATTTTCTTTACATATCCTTTTCTATTTTATGTATTTATTTACACCAAACATGTAAATTATTTTCTCAATAAACACCTTCAGACATTCTTTATTTACCATAAGATACATTCTTAAAAATGTAACTGAGATAATCATTTCCATAATTTCTTGATCACAGGTTATTTTTCTCTCTTACATGTACTGTTAAGAATAATTCTGTCTTCACAGCCCTTAAATAGTAATTTAATGTCTCATGGGTGACATAAGTATCTCATAAGTCATATTTTACTTAGCTTTTATTAAAAGCTGTCTAATATTTGGATACTCAGGCACTAAACTCTAGGTAAATTTCTAGAAGATTATACTGTATTGATCAAAGTAAACAACCAGTAAGAAGTCGGCAGATACTTAGCAGCCAAGAGCCACATGGAAATTAATGGCTGAGTTCAGAGAACACAGGCCCAAATTATTAAATGGCATAATTTAAGAAAATTAGTGTATTACATATTTAATAGCAATATACTACAATTATACAAACTGATCTAACAAATACTATACACCTGAAGATGTTTTTAGCACTCTGTATAAATCGTTTTCTATTTTAAAGATAAAACTTTTTGACTGGAATGGAGAAATGCTGATCATGTGAAATAAGCATTTTTATAGTGCTGCAACTTTGATCCCTATTGTGCATTAATCTGTAAAGGATTCTTAAATATCGAGAAATTTGAAAATTCATTAAAAGAAAAAATCTCCACAAATGTGAGTTTACTTTACTACTTTAAGTGTAATAATCTAAAAACGGATGTCATTCCTATTTTACTATTTGTGGATATTAAATAAAACATTTGAGAAAACTTTAGAGCACAATTATTAAAAAAATGGGTTTTGGGGTCACATAGAATTCAAGTCCTGGTTCTACGGAATAGTGAGAAAACTACTCCAGCCTTGTGAACCTCATTTCCTCATGTATAAAACGGAGATAACATGAAGTATATTTAGCATCTTATGAGGTTGTTGTATTAAGTAAAAAAAAAATATGATGCACTTTGCACAAAATATGATCAACAATAAAAGTTAAATAAAGGGCAGCTCTCACTACTAATATTACTCTTCAATTATTCTGTATAGATGAGGAATAAAATGTGCTATGTAACTTTTTCCTTTGCTGACAAATTCTTGTGTACATGCCAAATTTGAGGCATCACCACTTTGTATTTTACTCACTTTTGGGGCAAATTCATCCAAAATACTTACCACGTTTTTTTGTTATCTTAGGGGTCAATAAATATTTGGTACCTAGTACTAATAACTCTGTCTAGATTAACACATGTATTTTATAGTCCTAGTATGGTGATTTCAGGTCACAGTACATTTGGATTGTTGTATTTAAGTCTGGATATGGTTCAAGAGACAATGTATGCCAGACTGGAAGGTGCAATTATGGTTATGCACTTAAATAAGAACTCTTGTCACTTTAAAGATGAACAAAACTATGATTTACTACTTTGTTACTTTTGTTTCAATAAAAAGACAATGACAAAATTATGTGACATATACAATGGACTTAGTATTTCAATTTCTCAAATTGATCCCTGTAATAATCCTACGCTAAATACTGAAATTTTCCAAAAAATTCAATTCACACTAATTTTAGTCTCTTAAAAAAATGGAGCACAACGCACTGTGAACATTTTTAAGCTATAAGAGCTTTATGTACAGATATATTTGCTGAATTTATTTCAAGTTCAGATCAATATTAGAATTTAAAATAGAACTTAAGTCAATTCCTAACTAATTTATCTTAACTTCTGTAGTGTTAATGATTTAAATACTTAATTTTGGAATGGGAAATGCATACAACGATTATGCACAACAGAAAATAATAATAGAGGAGAGCAAAGCATGTATTTTGTACTAACCAATTAGAAGAACTGTTCCAACGGCTAAACCTCCACCTGGAAGTGAAACAAAATCAGACGAAAATTAATCTACATTTTCCATTATCTTCAGCATAAAAGTTAGGCTTTATGAAGGAAAGGCACTTCAGTAACTTTAAAACTACAGTTGCATACAACATTTTAATTACCTTTGCAATACTTTGCTTAAGGTGCTATTATGAAATAATTACATGTTATATGTAATTACACAGTACACATTACAATTACTTTCTTTTTTTTTGAGATGGAGTCTTGTTCCATTGCCCAGACTAGAGTGCAGTGGCAGGATCTCTGCTTGGCTCACTGCAGCCTCTCCCTCCTGGGTTCAAGTGATTCTCCTGCCTCAGCCTCTTGAGTAACTGGGATTACAGGCACCTGCCACCACATCCAGCTAATTTTTGTATTTTTAGTAGAGACAGGATTTCACCATGTTGGTCAGGTTGGTCTCAAACTCCTGACCTCAGGTGATCCACCCGCCTGGGACTCCCAAAGTGCTGGGATTACAGGCATAATCCTGTAATTTATGATTACAGTCATTTCTCCTATGACAGAACCATTCAGCATTCAACATAACTGTGCTTAAACACTCCAATGCTATATTTAACACTTGTTAATAAATTAACTCAATACCCAAGACTTAAATGTGCACAGTAACTACTACAGAAGTACAACATAGATAAGATTATAGAAATTCCACATTAATATTTATCTTCAAATTTAGTAAGCCTTTGAGTAAAGGACTGATGATTAAAGCTAATTCTTTTTTATTATGACTAATATACACAAAGTCTGGATATGCTCTAAATATATTTACAATTTAAAAGGAACACATTTGCCATTTCAAACAAAAAAAGATCATCATCACAAAAATACATTTTCAATATTACTGGACAGTGTTATTTTAAATATGTGAATCAGGCCAGGCAGTGGCTCAGGCCTGTAATCCCAGCACTTTGGGAGATTGAAGTGGGTGGATTGCTTGAGGCCTGGAGTTCAAAACCAGCCTGAACAACATGGTGAAATCCAGTCGCTACTAAAAATACCAAAAAAATTAGCTGCATGTGGTGGCACATGCCTGTTATCTCAGCTACTCAGGAGGCTGAGACACGAGATTTTTATTTTTATTTTTTTGAGATATAGTCTCACTCTATTGCCCGGGCTGGAGTGCAGTGGCCCAACCTCTGCCTCCCGGGTTCAAGAGATTCTCCTGCCTCAGCCTCTGGAGTAGCTGGGATTGTAGGCACCCGCAGAGACAGGGTTTCACCATGCTGGCCAGGGTGGTCTCGAACTCCTCATCTCATGATTCGTCTGCCTCGGCCTCCCTAAGTGTTGGGATTACCGGCGTGAGCCACTGTGCCCTGTCTGAGACGAGAATTTTTTGAACCTGGGAGGCAGAGGTTGCGGTGAATTGAGATCGCACCACTGCACTCCTGTCTGGGTGGCAGAGCGAGAATCTGCCTCAAAAAAATAAATAAATAAATAAATAAATAAATAATTAAGGCAATATAATCATGAAATATATAATTCAAATGGTGAATCATTAAAAGTCAATTTAATAATAATTTTAGGGCTGGGTGCAGTGGCTCACACTTGTAATCCCAGCACTTTGGGAGGCCGAAGCGGGTTGATCACCTGAGATAGGGAGTTTGAGACCAGCTTGACTAACATATGGAGAAACCCCTTCCCTACTAAAAATACAAAATTAGCTGGGTGTGGTGGCTTATGCCTGTAATCCTATACTCAGGAGGCTGAGGCAGGAGAATCACTTGAACTCAGAAGGTGGGGCTTGCGGTGAGCCCAGATGGAGCCAATGCACTCGAGAATGAGCAATAAGAGCAAAACTCCGTCTCAAAAAAAGAAAAAAAATGGTAATTAAAAAAAATTAGAACTACACTAAAACATTTGAGTATGATACTTTGCTCTTCCGTACTCAAACTATTGAGTTTATAAAACTATTACCAATTTGATTAATGTCTCAAACACAAATTCACTTTAAAAAAATGAGTATCAAAGAATGAATAGAAATGCACTTAAAGTATAATTAAAAAAATACTCAAAGTTGTTGGACAACTGGAGACAATATTAGTTTTTTTTTTTTTTTTCATATAAAACTATGAAAGAAACATTTAGAACACCAATAAAGAACTTTCCGCAAAAAGTTTTGTAGTCACAGTAACAAAAGTTCCTTTGATAGGCCAGGCACGGTGGCTGCCTGCCTGCAATCCCAGCACTTTGGGAGGCCAAAGTGGGCAGATCACATAAGCTCAGGGGCCCTTCGAGATCATCCTGGCCAACACGGTGAAACCCTGTTTGCCACGTGGGGTGGTCTGCTCCTGCAATCTCAGCTACTCGGGACTCAGGAGGCTGAGGCATGAGAATCGCTTGAACCGGAGGTTGCATTGAGCCAAGATCACACCACTGCACTACAGCCTGGGCCACAGAGCAAGAATCTGTCTCAAAAAAAAAAAAAAAAAAGTTCCTTTGACAGTGTTTATTTTTTGCCTTGCAAATAAGTATTTCAAACAGTTTGAAATCTGGTAACATAGATGTACCTAGAATAAAATGCAACATGTGACTTAACAGTGAGGCTAAAAATCAATTTTATGACAATATGTAGAACATTTCAGACTCTTAGGGAAGGAAATAATGAAAAAATCTATTGTTTTTAAATGTTTTAATGTTTAAGTTTATATATTTACAAGAACTTTATATTTCAGGTTCACATTTAGACAGGTTCCTTCATTATAGCACTTAAAGCCATACCAGAATACATAGAATAACTTTACTCTTTAGATGAAAAGATAAACATAAACTGAAATATGTATCATGAAAGCCATCAAAAAGGATCAGGTCCAGGGTCAGTGGCTCAAGGCTGTAATCCCAGCACTTTGGGAGGCCATGGTTGGCAGATCACTTGAGCTCAAGAGTTTGAGACAAGTCTGGACAATATGGCAAAACTCCATCTCTACAAAAAATACAAAAATTAGTGAGGCATGCTGGGGGGCTGTGGCGGGAGGATCATTTGAGCATGGGAAGTTGTGGCTGCAGTGAGCAGTGTTTGCGCCACTGCACTCCAGCCTCGGTAACAAGGTGAGACCCAGTCACAAACAAACAAAAGGATCAGAATAAAGGGTTTGCTTTGGGACAACAGTAGACTAATGTTTAATTTCATAGTGACCTACTAATGTTTTAATCCATTTGAACATCTTACATCACACTTCCTTACTTTCCCTTAAATGCAAAAATTAACATTTAATTACCTAACAGCCGTTTTGCGTACATATAAGGAGATGAAGTAATATAAGCAAACAAGAGACCTTATGGTATCTAAGCTAGAGCAGGCACTATTACAAAGTTTATTACTTTAACCTATTTCCTATAGGGAGTATTTAGTTTTCTTATCTAACCTCTTGAGTTACATTTATGTCTCCTCAAATAAGGAATTTATGTAAGGCCTCCACTGGGACAGACAGAGAAGTAAAGATTTTTTAACATGCACTATGGGACAATGAGAACAGATCATGAAACAGTTTTCCAATTAAAAGAAGTGATTAACAAGCACAAGTGCCTGGCCCAGGGAGGTACTCAGAAAGAGTGACCTTTGCCATTCTGGTAATTCTTTTTTTGGTGGGTAGGGAGGTGACTGGGTGTTATCGTGTTGCCCAGATTGGAGTGCAGTGGTACAATTATGGCTCACTGCAGCTTCAATCTCCCAGGCTCAAGGGATTCTCCTACCTCAGCCTCTGAAAGAGCTGGGATTATACGCACATGTAACCATGAGTGGCTAATTCTTTTTTTTCTCTTTTAATTCTTTCTTTCTTTGTAGAGATTGGGTCTCACTATATTGCCCAGGCTGATTTTGAACTTCTGGGCTCAAACTAGCCTCCCACCTTGGCCTCCCCAAGTGTTGAGTTTACAGGCAGGAGTGACCATGCTGGCCTAAAAATCTCATGTGTAGTAAAATTCTAATGTTTAGAAAATTTGGACATTAAGACATAATGGGGACATATTAAAATCATTTTTATCAACCAAATATCTTCTCAAGCTTCTTTTACAAAAACGTAAGAAGGCTCTATTATGTAAATTCACTAGATTCACATTTAGGTTGGTTCTAGTAAAGTTTGGTCATTGTGAATGTTAGTTATGGGGAATAAGACATAACTCATTAACTAATTTAATGTGTTAATTTACAAGATCTTGTAAATGCTAGGATCTTCCTATCTTATGATTTTTAAAATCGTAAGACAACCAAAGGGCTTTTGTTGCTTAAATTAACTAAAGGTTTTAAAAAATCAAGTTTTTCTATGTGTACTAAGATAATTTTGACCTATACATATATATACATGTATACAGCAGCAATATTTCTCCATTCTTCTAAACTTGAGTTACTGAGACACGATCTCAAAGCATGTCTACAAGATACCTCTGTATAAGGTATTTTGATGTCTTTTACTTAATAAATGGAAGGTCTAGCTGCATTTTAACTTAAAAGTTGGAATGTCTGTAGCCATGCTCCCATCAAAAAATAAATGAAAAGCCAAAACAACCAACCACAATAGCATACCCTGATGTATTCTTTGAAAGCTAGCTTTTAATTTACTTTTAAATTTAGTAATCCATTAGTAATTTTATCTAATTCCAAAAGCAACATAGACTTCACATTAATAGTTCCCAATTAAAATTGAAATACCTTTTCCCAACAGTCCACTAAAATGTATTACAGATAATAGGGCAACGAAGCAATCATCTTATTTCTGTAATGAAAACAAACAAACAAAAAGGAGTAAAATGGCCTTATTTACCACTTCCTCTCCCCTTTCATCCTAACTTAAGAAAATTACCAACACACTTTCTAAGTCACTAAGCAAAATAAACTCTTCTTTTTTTGAGACAGGGTCTCACTGTCATCTAGGCTAGGGGGAGTGGTGTGATCACTGCTCACTACAGCCTTGACCTCCCAGGATCAGGGATCCTCCCCCTGTCAGCCTCCCGAGTAGCTGGGACTACAGGTGTGCACCACCAAGCTTGGGTAATTTTTGTATTTTCTGAAGAGCCAGGATTTATCTATGTTGCCCAGGCTTGTCTCAAACTCCTGGGCTTAAGTAATCCACCCATCTTGGCTTCCCAAAGTGCTGGGATTACAGGTGTGAGCAACCACACTTGGCCAGCAAATAAACTCTTGGTGTTACTTCTAGGCCTCTTTAAGATGCATATTTATTTCCAGCTTACTAAAAATACAAATAGAGGACTTCACATACACAAAAGAATACAGGAGTTTAAATGTTAAAGATAATTAGCAAGCTTGACATTTTAAAGAATTAATTTCATTAAGATTTTAAATCTTTTAAAAATAGGCTTTTTTCTTAAAACCAGAAACAATATTTAATACCTAGGAAATAATATCAGAAAATTTAAGATCTTGTAAACGCCAGGATCTTTCTACCTTATGATTTTTAAAATCATAAGACAACTAAAGGGCTTTTGTTGTTTCAATTCACACAGTAGTAAGACAACTGTATTAGTACTATGAATATTTTAAAGGGAGCGTTCAATCCCCACTCTGTCCCCAATACAAACCTCTGATTAAGCTATAATTTTGAGTAAATGAAGTCAAATTAATACACTAGAATATGAATGCCTTTCTTCAATGTTAGGGAAAGTAAAAGGGAAAAGAAATGAAAGTCAGAAAAGGTAACTGATTTATGCCAGTCCTTTCAGAGCTCTATACAAAGGAATAATTTTGCTTAAAATTATAAAAAAGTATTTTTGGGAAAATGCAATTTAAAAAACAAGTTCATATTGTTTCTTTGGTTCGCAGTAATAGCCTTAACTACTGAATTAATGCTGGACCTCAAATTAAATTGCAGTTATTTTGATAACAAGTCTACTTTTTCTTCCCTGAGCATGATAAAATATCGTGACTACTCTTCATTATGATACCATTATTGGCTGGGTAAACATGAGAATCAAAATAAAGCCAGGAATCATAAAAATAGTTTCGTAGATTAAGTCACACGAAACAATTTTACATAGCAATAAAAGTGTATATTTTTCTTAAATGTACAGCTCATTCGTTGCTAAAATATCCTAACCAAGATTGTGTTAAATATATAGTCCAAGCTCAACGTATATTAACCCATGCTACACATTAACATATAGTAAAGGAAATAAGCCCACTAGTGTTTACTTTTTGACATCGGTGTTAAAAAATGGTTGCTACCATCACGCTCCTTTCAGAGTACTCTTCCTAGACTATTATTTACCACAAATCCCTATTTGACAATCAAAATTTAACAGCACAGAGGTCAAATCTGCAGTTACCCTTCCTTTAAGCATCTTTCCGGAGAATGAAATTACGGATAATTCTCCTAGGTTAGACATATGGTCCTAACATGGAGTATACTTTTATGGGGAATGGGGGTGGCAGGGGGGAATTCTGCCAGAATTCTTTTCCTGCTATAATCTTTCTTTGGAAACCTTTGGAAGAGAAATGAAGTATTTATTCAATCGATGGAATATCTATCTTTCCTTTTCCAAAATATAAGTGTTATTTACATATAGTGTCCTCAAATAACAATACAAATATCCCAGAAGGGCAAGGCTGAGAACATGGGTTAGATAAGCTGAGAATTCTAAAAATTTAAATGTAGCTAACTTGTGAAATGTATTTCAATATCTCATAATAAAATTAGGTTGTCAGAACAAAAACATTTAATATAATTAGGTCACATTTGAAAGATGCAGATAGGAATTTTCAAATTTCTGAAACATTTTGGAATAAGTAATGGAAATAGTGAATCATCAAATGACTAACAATTAGCATGTATGATGCCTTTCAAATATATTTTGCATCTATGTTTAAAATCACAATGATGTCATGGTGGCAGTAGTAAAATGTCACTGTACTACGTGGAAGCCATAATATTTACTTGTTACACAGTAACCACATAATATATTTTAGCCATTAATCATAATATCACAGAATAGTCTTACCATTCTAATACCGTAACATCCTATTATCGTTATATTTTGTCACAATATGGTCATATTGCGCTTGTCACAACTTGAGTTAAATAACAACATAATCTAAATTTGCTTATACAGAAAATCGGAATACAAAAATGTCATTAAGAGGATAAAGCTAAAATACTTCTGGACATATTTATTTTTCAAGATGTAGTCAATTCTATTAAGACTTCTTCTACTTTGCATTTTGAGAATTAACTGCATGCATGAAAAATATATTTCAAAGTATTCAACAACCAATACTGTTTCAATCACCTTAATGAACAGCAATTTTTAGCATAAGCTTGTTACAGTTAAATACACTACTACAGTCCCCCATTCCAAGCTAATATGGAAAATTTAAAAATTACTGTTCAAGTTTGTATCTCCGAAGAAATATATATAGAAGGTGCTTTGGGTTCTCTTTTTGATAGGTACTTTAAGAGACGATAGTTAAATCATTAATCTGAGGTTCAATAAATGGCCAAAGCCCCCTGGAAAAAATTCTTAAAAATTTCAGACAGCTGTAGCCTAGTGGAGAGAGCACTAAATGTGAAGCCAAGATCAGCACACATGGTCAATGGTTTTTTGAGACTGTTCATATCACTTAATTTGTTTTTAGAGCTCAAACATGAAACTCCATCCTACATATTTCATAATTTCTTGTCTCAGTTTTTTTCTACACATTATTTTTCTTGTAATCAACAACTTATTGAGAACCTACTAAGTGCCAGGAACTATGCTAGGTAGGTTTTGTTATTCTAATGAGGAACTGAAGACATTATAAATAGAAACATAACCTTTTTGTTTGGAAGGTTTTAGTATCAAGTGAATGAAGTTACATATCCTATGGAATTAAAAAATACATAAGGCCTAGAAATAGCTTCCAAACTTAAAGTTCAAACATAAGGGGATATCTATTGAGGCTTACAAGGCAAAAACGGTGAATTTAAAATTTGCTAACTAGATATTTTGAATCACTTCTGTTTACAGTACCATGCAACTCAAAGAAAATATAATTGAAACAACAGTACCATGCAATTCAAAGAAAATATACTTGAAACAATTAAGTGAAAAATACTTAAACTTATGTAGAAATAACCAGGAAATGAAATGACAGAATCAAGAAGCCATACTCTTTCTCACTGGTTGCTTATTACTTTCTCTGCACTAAACCTATGAAAAACCTACTTTGAGGAGATAACCGAGAGAAATGTCAAGCGAAGTACAAGAACAAGCAATGACAGTGATATTTTATGAAAGTGTACAAGAAATAACAGATACATACCACACACTGAAAAAAGTTACGAAATGTAAACACAGACAGGGTACATTTTATGAATGTATGCTGCTTTAATGGAGCAGCATTCAGATAGAAATATAGAAGCTTTATTAACACAGTAAATCTGTCCTACCAACCTAATCTGGTCAATCCTTTCCATATAACAGTTATGAAACAAGCATATTCTTCAGCAGGCTTCTCATAAAATTCCAGAGATTTTAAAGGAAAGCGTAAGAACTAGACATCCTTTTCTCGTTAAAATGTGAATTGAATTTAAAGATGTCGTTAAGCAATCAATTCTGGGAAGCAAAATGTGTATAAAAAAACCGAAAAAATATATACACATATTTAACGCAGACATGAGTGTGACGAAATATCAACGACAGGCTCTAATTAGTTTATAAGGATTACGAGTCAACATAAACCTCTCTCTTAAAGTCAAAATGTTTTAAGATTTAGACCCAGAGAATAGGCAGTCGGACGGTCAAAAAGGGGAAATCCTTTTTTTTCCAGCATTTTCTAACGAAGGCTGTCTCCCCCAATTATAAAAACTTTTGTAGGTTGGTCTCCACCGTGAGCTGCCTGGAGACAGCAGAAGCGAGGTATCCTCAATGAATAGCTAAACCATCTCCTAAATTAATGTCTTCCCTTGACTAGAAAGCATTTCAGAGTAAAAGCATGTACGAATTCCGCCGTAATATGAAAAGGGGTTAGTGGGCAGGGAACGAGAATAGAGAGCGGGGGCACTAAAACATGTTTAGTTAACAGCGCTCAAAGTCTCCCCACAACCCGTATTCCCCTCCATCTCAGTCAGACCAGGCTATTCTCTCCTCGTCCGAAGGTTTAGGGGTCAGAGAGAGATGTGGGGTCAAAGTGGCTTCCGCGACAGGTCCCCTCCCTGTTTCCCCTCGGTTGAGCCCAGATCTCCACTCTGAACCGACCTAAGAGCTGGTCCAGGGCTGGGAGCCCGGTTGATACCAGCAGCTGTCCATTCCGCACCGACGGTCGCGTGCCCGTAATGGACACCAGTCGAGGGCCGCTGTCGTTGGTCCCGCTGGCTCTAGGACCCCTCCTCTGGAAACTCGTGACGTTGCTTTTGCTGGCTGTCGCCACCGCAGACCCAGCACTCCCGGCGTCACCGCCGCAGGTTGCCACTGCCGCCATTTTGAAACCTCCCAAGTTAACCCAATAGGAACTCTGGGAACGCAAATCTCCGGCCTGTCAGAGCCGTTCCCAAACTCCCGCCTCCTGGCCCCTACCGCGGCTCTCGTAACCAATAGGACTGAGACGTCCCTCCCAAGCCAACCAATCGGAAGGCGCATTGCTGAAAAGTGCTTTCTACGTAAGGACGTTCGACTTCGGTGGAGCCCAGGTGAGAAAGGCCCACCTGTGTCGTGGTTGCGGGTCTTCAGGGTTCTTTGGTGCCAGAGGTAGGTAATACCACGTAACGTTCTTCTCCTTTTGAGTGCCTTCATTCACACTGAGTTAAAGAAAATGTTGGTGAACCGATAAACCTTAGGGCTTAGGGCTTATCAAGCAATTGCTAGTAGCTTGCACCTTTCTGCGCTGTTTGAGGAGAGACTTTTTTCCTGCTCATTTCTCTTTTGATTTCTCAGAGAAAATTCACTCCGCCTTCCCCACGATGTCTTTTCCTTAATTTTGTGTTATATGGAAAGGATGGGGCCTCTTAACCTTAATGAGTTGCTTGCTGAACGCCCGGGCTTAGTTCGCTTGTGCCTAGAGGTTTGGATTTAGACCTTAGAGCGAAAACTCTTGAACTTTGAGGTCCATCTGGTTTTCCTGCGTCTGACAAAATATACCTCTCTGATAAGTTCCGATATGGAGCTTTCGTTAATTTTAATTAGTGCTTCTGGAAGTCGTGGATGTCTTTCCTCAGCGGTGTAAATGACAAGTGTTACTCTGACAACCTTGTTCACACATTTAATTGTCGTTTGCTGTTAAAGCCGCTGCAAATAACAGAAAATTCTTTGGGTATCTTTCCCCAAAAAAACTGCTGGGAAGAATTAGGAATGTACTTACTTTATTTTGTGAACCTTGAATCGAGAGTTTATTACTAAAATAGGGATTTTATATGTGGGGAAAAAAACATGTGTTTTGAGTTGTATTTTCGTGTTTAATTTTTTTCTGAAAATTGAGCAAGGATCCCCCTGCTCAGTGGGTAACTGATGTTTAAAGGCAATCATGACTGACAAATGTCTACATTAAAAAGATTCCCAAATCATTCCTGCACTGCTGAGTTACTGACTTTGACAGCCATCTGTGATACCTTTTAATTAGACCCAAACTTCATTGAAATTCTTGCAATTGAATTGTTTTGAATCTCATTGACCTGTTGAAATTTTTGGACTGATTCTATTTGATAAATTGAAGTTAGTATTGCTAAATAGTGACTGGAGTTTTTCATTTGGGGAGGATTTTTGTTTGTTTGCTTGTTTTTTAGAACCATGTTTAGGAAAAAACTATTTCACACTATATCAACTGGAAAGCTTTGATCAAGGTTGCTTTCATATTGAATCTTAAATCTAAGTTATTCAATAAATAACTGTTGAGTGATTACTGTCTGCTTGGACTTAATCTTGTCATTTTAGACCTATGGTAATAAAAATCTGGAGAAGATAAAATTAACACATGGAAAGCAACATATTACTTAAAACGAACACATTAAATAGTATGTGCTAATTTTATCCTGTAGTAAATAAGCACTAAGACCAAAACAAAAAGTGACAAAGCAGTCCAATATCAGAGAGAAACTTCTTGAATATTTTTTTTCTTTAACTTTATTTTAGGTTCTGGGCTTCATGTGCAGGATGTGCAGCTTTGTTACATAGGTTAAAGGTGTGCTGTGGTGGTTTGCTGCACAGATCAACCCATCATCTAGGTATTAAGCCCAGTATCCATTAGCTATTCTTCCTGAGGCTCTCTGTTCCTCTACCTCCACAAGTATTTTTGATGCTCTGAAATTTTTGAAATACTACATATAATTATTATTTTTTGACAGATAGCATTGTTTGTATTGTGTACCACATGATGCTATGAAATATATGTACATTCTGGAATGGTTAAATCTAACTCATTAGCAATGCATTACCTCAGATAGTTATCATTTTTGTGGTAAGAGTACATAATATCTACACTCTTTGCATTTTTTAAAGAATACAATGTATCATCATTATAGTCAACTTGCTATAATTTTATGCTATATAATAGATTTTTTGAAATTTATTCCTCCTATCTAATTGTAATTATGTATCCCTCACCAAGGTCTCTCCATCCTCACTCCAACCATCCTGGCCTCTGGTAAACACCTTTATACTTTCTACTTCTATGAGATTAACTATTAGATTCCACCTATAAGTGAGATCATGTTCTATTTGTCTTTCTGTGCCTGTCTTATTTCACTTAACATAATGGTATAATTAGTTTTTATAGGCTTCTGTACTACATATTCCTTTGTTTCCTACTGTATTTACTTAACGCTTTAGTTTTCCAAAGATGATGATAGTGGTGCTTTGTTTGCCTCATTACTAGAACTGAAGAATTCTTTTCCAACTTCAACTATAATTCTGGAAAGATGATCTACGTACACACCAAAGTATTCGTGAATTTAGGATATATCTCTGGTATAACACTATCATAGAATAAATCGGCTTTTTTGTTTTTTTTACAAAGATAAAACCTTTGCTCCCAAATAAGCCCAGATTCTTGAACTTACCAGCAAACAGTAGAGTTAACTATAAAACATGGGAATAAATGAAGTATTCATGGAAAGGAAGAGTTAAAAGTTATATGTTTAGGGTATTATTAATTAATTAATTCTTTATGAAGGACATACTGAGTTCCAGGAACTCCATCAGAGCTCAGGTTACAGGAGAAAAATATACTGTCTCCTTACTTCTTGAGTTCACAGCTAGGGAAGATAGATGGGTAAATAGGCTTATAAAGTATAGGTAACCCATGAACAATGTGGGGATCAGGGTGTCGACCCCCACACCCATGTAGTTGAAAATGCACATATAACTTTTGACTCCTCCCAAACTTAACTGCTAATAGTCTACTTTTGATTACTGGAAGCTGTACCAATAACATCCATGGATTAACATATAATTTGTATGTTATATGTGTTAAGTACTGCATTCTTACCATGAAGTAAGCTAGAGAAAAGAAAATGTTAAGCAAATCATAGGAAGAAAATATATTTGCCATGCATTAAGTGGAGGTGGATCATGATACGGGTCTTCATTCTTATCTTCTTCATGTTGAGTAGGCTGAGGAGAAGGAGGAAGAGAAGGGGTTGGTCTTGCAATCTCAAGGGTGGAAGAGAACCAGAAGGTAGAAGGGGAGGCCGAAAAGGTAGGCGCACTCAATATAGCTTTATGAAAGTTCATCCTAATTTGTCGGTTTTGCTTTTTCAGCTCTCTAAAAATGTTTCTGTACAGTACCAATTCATCTTCTGTTGTTTGCTTTTTTTTCAGTGTCTGTGTTATAGTAGGCATCCATGTCAGGAGAAGTCAAAGCAGTCTTGAATAACTGGAACAACACTTCTGCCCGATTGCCTAATATCAGCTTGTTTTCTGGCACTACTTCTTATCATCTGGCACTGTTTGGAAGCATTCATCTCCATCAAGTCATCTTCTGTTAATTCCTCTGATGTGGTTTCTGTTGGCTCTTGAATTTCTCCAATATCTGTATCTTAAACTCTTCCCTCCCAACTTTTTTTTTTTTGGCAATATTCACAATCTTCCCCATGACTTCCTTGATTGACTGTTGTAAATCCTGCAGGAAACCAATTTGAGATAAATAGAAAACATATAATGAACATGATAAGCAATTAGCACCCTCTGATACAAGTGGACACCTCTTCAGTTGGTTTTTCAGTGACTTCTCTGGCCCTGCAGTCCATATCACTTTTATGTCTGTGCAGGTAAAGTGTATAGCAGATATACTGTGAAGGCTCTACTGGGCCTGCTGGTATTCCAGCAGCGTGATTGAAGGAATGAATACTAAAGTTATGCCTAAACAGAGGGAATTCCTCAACTTGTGGTAATTTTTTTTTTTTTTTGCTCCCTTTGTGTCATTATATTCGCAAAGAGAAACTATAGTCCTGAGTTACAGCACCACAGATTTCTTTCACTGTTTTTCTACTTTTCTACCTTTATTATACTCTCTGCTTCTATGAGATCAACTATTAGATTCCATTAGATCCACTATTAGAGTCCGTGTTTGACTTCTCTTGCTTAACATTTTTGTGAAATGATTCTTGTTAGTGTGTATTGTGGCTGATCTATTCTTATTGCTGTATAGTATTGTAAAAATGTATTACAATTCATTATCTGTTCTGCTATTAAAAGGGATTTGGATAGTTTCCCATTTGTGGCCATTTTTTCAATGCAATTGTACCAGTTTATACTCTTACCAGGAGCAATTGAGAATTTTTGTTACTTCTCATCCTTATCAACACAATATTTTTCTTTCTTTTCATTTCAGCTATTTTAAGAGGGTTGTGGTATGGCTTTGTCATTTGAATTAGTACTGATGAAGTTGAGCACCTGTTTTTATGTTTATTGGCCATTTGGGTAAACGCTTTTGTGAAAGGGTCTATTCATGTTTTTTAATTTTACAAATTTGGATTGTCTGCCTCTCTCCCATGGATTTGTAGGAGTTCTTTTACATTTTGGATGAGTTCATTTTCAAATAAATTCATTACAAGTATCTTCTGTTAGTCTGTGGCTTGTCTTTTCATTTTCCTGTCTTTTGATTTTAGTCAAAATATATTTTGACTTATCAATTTTGCCTTTTTGGCTAGTGCTTTATGGCTGTGTTTGCTACTCCAAAATTTTGAAGATGATCTCCATGTTTTGTTTTTCTAAAAGCCCTGATGTTTTACTTTTAATATTTGTGTTTGCACTTTGTTGGAATTGACTTGTGTGTGTTTGGTGTGAGGCAGTGGTAAAGATGCATTTGTGTTTCCTATATTGGTGTCCTATTGACCTAGCACCATTTACTGAAAAAAAGATCTTTCCTTGCTATGTTTACTCATCTTTTTTTTTTTTTTTTAGGCAGAGTCTTCCTCTGTCGCCCAGGCTGGAGTGCACTGGCACGATCTCAGCTCACTACAACCTCCGCCTCTTGGGTTCAAGCGATTTTCCTGCCTCAGCCTCCTGAGTAGCTGGGACTACAGGTGCATGCCACCACACTCAGCTAATTTTTGTATTTTTAGTAGAAACAGGGTTTCACTAAACTCCTGACCTTGTGGTCCGCCCGCCTTAGACTCCCAAAGTGTTGGGATTACAGGCATGAGCCACTGCACCCGGCTGCATCATCACTTTATTAATAAAGTCAGACATAAATTAGGCAGATTTCATTTTGAACTTTCCATTGGTTAGTGTGTGTCTTCAGGTTCTTCAGGAAG